GAAATAAATGTAGAAATTGAGATTTTATTATAGTAAGATTTTCAAATGAATTCAATGATTCCCAACTCTTTTTTAAAATCATAAAACTTTTAAAAGTTATTTGTTTTGTTTAAGTAATTAACAAGTTTTAAACATCATTCACTTTTCATAAATTTGATTCTCTTAAATAGTAGTTAAAATATTACAAGTCTGTAGCATAGATTATCCAGTCTCTGTGGGACGATATCTTACACTATACTAGAATTTGACAAAGTACGAGCAGAAAATTCTAATACACATTGGCCTCGTCACATATTTACATGTTATGGATGCAATAACATTTTGTTATCTCATTAGTTTTGATGTCCATGAAAAGCTTGGCATACATTTAATGGATGTGGTTATAGCCTACCTTTATGACACACTTGATAACGAAATATACATGAAAATTTTCGATGGATTTAAAATGTCTGACACACATAACTCAAAGTCCCGGAAAATATTTTCAATCAAATTACAAATATCTTTGTATGGTCTAAAGCAATTAGGAAGAATGTGGTATAACCGCCTTAGTGAGTATTTATTAAAGGAATGTTATATAAATGATGTCATTTGTCCATATATTTTTATAAAGAAAATAACATCGGAGTTTGTTGTACTTGCCGTATATGTTGATGACATAAGCCTTATTGGAACTCCTACAGAACTCCAAAAGGCAATTGATTATTTAAAGAAGGAATCCGAGATGAAAGATCTCGGAAAGTCAAAATTATGTCTCAGTTTGCAAATTGAACATTTGGCAAAAAGAATTTTTGTTCATCAATCTGCCCACATAGAAAAGGTATTGAAACGGTTTTACATTGATGGAGCATTCCATTAAGCACTCCAATGGTTGTTCGATCACTTGATGTGAATAAAGACCCGTTCCGACCTCAAGAAAAGAATGAAGAGCTTCTTGGTCTTGAAGTACCATATCTTAATGCAATTGGTGTACTAATGTATCTTGCTAACACTAGAAGACCTGTCATAATTTTATCAGTTAATGTCTTAGCAAGATATAGCTCTACTCCTACAAGGAGACATTGGAATGAAATCAAATACATATTGCGGTATCTAAAAGGGACTACCGATATGGATTTATTTTATGACAATGATTGCAGTCCCGACCTTGTTGGTTATGCCGATACTGGGTATTTATCTGACCCACACAAGGCTCGATCTCAAACAGGCATGTGTTTACATGTGGAGGCACTTCTATATCTTGGCGATCGACTAAGCAATCAATCGTGGCTACTTCATCTAATCATGCAGAGATAATTGTTATTCATGAAGCAAGTCGAGAATGTGTGTGGTCGAGGTCTATAATACATCTTATTCGTGAAAAATATAGTTTGAAGTGTGACAAACCACCCATGATTTTGTATGAAGATAATGCAGCATGCATAGCCCAATTGAAATGAGGATTCATAAAAGGAGATAGGACAAAGCACATTTCACCAAAGTTATTTTTCACACATGATCTTCAAAAGAATGGTGATATCAATATGCAACAGATTCATTCAAGTGATAATATGGCTGATTTGTTCACCAGATCTCTACCAACGTCAACCTTCAAGAAACTAGTGTACAAGATTAGGATGCGAAGGCTCAAAGATGTGAATTGATGCTTTTATCAGGGGGAGTTGATACGCGTTGTACTCTTTTTTCCTTACAAGGTTTTGTCCCATTGGGTTTTCCTTGCAAGTTTTTTAATGAGACAACCAAAAGGCGTATATTAAACATGTGTACTCTTTTTTCTTTACTAGAATTTTTCCCACTGGGTTTTTCCTAGTAAGGTTTTAACGAGGCACATTATCTACTAATAGACATTCAAGTGACATGGCCTTCAACAAGTGGCAAGGCCTTTCAACAAATATCAAGACTTTTAACAAGTGGCAAAACCTTTTCAACAAATGTCAAGACTTTCAATAAGTGTCAAGACTTTTGATAAGTGGCCAAATCCTTTCCTGCAAAAGTGCATATAAATAGGCCCAAACACTTGAAGAATATCATCAAGAAAAGTTTATTAATTATATCCCTCTAAATTCCTCTTGTTTACTTTATTTTCTATTATTCCATAACAAAACCATAGTATTTAAGATAATACTAACTTCCAACGGTACTTTCAATATGTAACAAAAGTCTTTTTTTTCCTTTTCAATTTTGCATATAATCAAATATCATCATAATAAAAATATAAAATGAAACGAGAAATGTATATTTTCAGCCGTTTCTAAAAATAATAGCAGACAAAATGTATTATATATATATATATATATATATATATATATATATGTATGTATGTATGTATGAATTCTAGTTTTTGTGAAGTTATTGAATTCTAAACTAATACTTCATTTATATTATATTAAATTAATTTTTTAAAACAAATATAAAGTTTGGATCAAAGTTACTGAATTCGACCGATCCGTAATTTGGTGGCCGGCTCCACCCTTGCTAGCGAGTGTAATTAATTTCAGCGGACTAGCCAATTTTCTATTTTGCCCAAATGAAACAAAGGGACATATTTTAACTTTATTGGCTTGTTAGTCAATTCCATCATTCTGGTTTCCGAAGCAGATGGACAAAGCTGTAAGCCACTACAGTTTATACTCAAGTTATGCTCTTGATCAACTATTTCTGCGTCAAAGGGACCAGCCACTCATTCTTTTGCAGCGCCTTTCCCGCTTTTCTCAGAATGGGAATCGAGAATAATTATAATTCACCACTATATATTGTTTACCTTGGTATGGTAAGAGTAATAACTTGGGAAAATTACACTTGTCTCCCTCTAATTGTTACATCCAAGAACATTATAATCTTTCTTGTTTAATTACGTATTATTTTTTACCAGTAATATTCTATTTCTTGATCAAGGAGAGAAGAGTATAGTGGAAGATATTTAAGTAGTTATAATAAGACAAGACATATGTAGATTTATTTTGTATTGGGGCAAGAAGCAGAAGTCAAAATGTTTATTCTATGATTCGATACATCCTTTTTAGCACTCTGATTGAAAATTATAATATAGTATATTTATTTTCTCCTTAAAAAAATAAGAGTAATAATTAGGCACGTAAAAGACTAAAGAAACCCTCTTTTAGAACTTTCAAATGGAGTTCACTGCTTTATTAGCGTCTCTTCTCTTCTCTTTTTCATTGTCGTACCAAAAGCGAAACAAAACAATTGTCTAAATTTTGAAGAAATTGGAAAAGATAATTAAAACTCTATTCCATAGAGGGTAGGAGTAATATTTTGCTAAAGTAATGAAAATATAGATGCTAAAGTAAGTAACTAGGGTATGTATTTGGTTAATATTGAAATATTTGCTCGATTTTCCTATATAAAAATTAAAAGTAACTAAGTAGGCGTTTGGACATAAAAAATATAATTTTTGAAAAAAATAATATTTGCAGTTAAGTTGAAAAATAATATTTGAAATTATGTTTAGATATGTATTTCAGTTTAAAAAATATTATAATTTTGTGAGTGAGAAATTTTTTTTTCTGAAAATTCTTAATTTGTAAAACTCATTTCAAAATTTTTTCCAAAAACTTGCAAAAATTCATGAACAAACACACATGTTCGATTTTTTTTTGTTGAAAAAATGGAAATAAAAATTTATGGACAGACGGGGAGTAAGTAAAATGATTGTGTATAGAATTGAAAGAAAACATCAAGATCAAACCTCATAGGCCACAGCTCATCCAATTAGTTTCCCTTTCTCATCTTGTCCTGGCTTCAATGCGAGGGACAGACTGCATTGCGGGTTTCCTCTTTCCTGAATCAGATGCCATTCCCCTTTCAAAGTTTGTCAGAGTACTGTATAAAATTTGACTATCTGACTATTTGGCATTGGTTAAGTTATCTACTGGTCACAAGCGCAAATCCACGTATGATGGTAAATTTTTTCTTTATAAGCATTGAATATTTAGAAACTCATTAATTCAACTAATTTAGTTTCACACATGTAAAACCTATTAAAAATATTAACGCTTCATATCAGAGTTTTCTTCATTTTCAAGATTATAACATGCTTCAGAGGTAAATAATTAGGATCTTCACACCAATAGTCACCAGATCTACTATTTACTTTTTCTTAATATATTGGCTATACGCATAGTATACATTTGCTATAATTAACTGGACTAGTGCTACACTGCTACCAAATACCAACAATCAGTCAATTTTTCAATGTCTAAACTGGATGGGTTATTCCTGTCATTTCGTATGTCCAGTTGTGCAAGATGAGAGGACAGTCGATTCCCATTTTTTTCCTGAAAAGAACGGGGGATGAGAGCTTTGGAAGTGGTGATGGCTGGTTGGAGCCCACAACAATGGCAGCTGTCTCCAGCCCATTTCCCTCCTAAACCAAACGCCACAACAGTACCAAACACACACACAAAAACAACACATTTTAGTAAATACTTACCTACATATATAATTAATTAATTAATTAATATTGAAAATTAACAAATCAAAGCAAAATGCATAGCATTTAATCATGATCTCCAAATGTGACCTCTAGCCATGCACATATTAAAAAATATATCTTATATTCATTGACTTGATATAAATATTTCAAGTGGATAAATTTTTACTTAGTCGGCGTTTGGACATAAAAATTATAATTATGTTTGGTATGTGTTTCACAAGAAAACATATATGTATTATATGTGTGTAATTATGTATAATCAATGTATATGACTAGAAAAAGTAAACAATAAATATAATCGGCTATCTGTCTATTCCAAGAAATATTGCAATTTTTTGTGTAGGGAAAAAAGTTTTTTCGGAAAAAATTAAAAAAATAATCAAAATCAATTTTTGGTTTTTGCAAAAATTATTTTCAAAAAATCTCTAAAAACTTACAAAATTTTATGAACTAACTCATTTTAGAAATAAAGCCGAAAAAAAATAAATACGGACAAACGGGTCTTTAGTTTCTTACCACAACACCTTCTTCTCCTCTTTATAAAATGTGCCCCCACCCTTCAACTTCCCTTGTCCTCACACATTAGACCCTCAGCTGCCTAAGCTCCACATCTCTCTCCTCCATTGATAATGTTTAGAGTTATACTAAACCTTTTTCTCTTATTCCTTTTGTTTCAGTTTCGATCTAACAATGCTTCTTCCCCTACAGCACAAACTCTTGAGCTGCAAAATCCTAACTACTTCAACCCAAAGCTGCCGCCTATGACACTCTCTTCCTCAAAAAAGTTCGAGGGATCATCAGACCTGGTAAACCTCCGTTACCATATGGGTCCAGTTCTCTCTTCTCCGATCAATATCTACCTCATTTGGTACGGCAAGTGGGCCCCATCACAGCAACTCCTCATTAAAGACTTCCTTCTCTCCGTTTCCACTTTCAACCACCGCGCTGCTCCTTCTCCTTCCGTCGCGGAGTGGTGGAGCACAGTGTCCTTGTACACTGACCAGACCGGAGCTAACATCTCCCGCTCCGTACTCATCGCCGGGGAATACTCTGACAATAAGTATTCTCAGGGGAAAAACCTTAATCGTCTCTCCATTCAAGACGTCATCGCCGAAGCCGTTCGATCAAAACCGTTCACCGTCGATCATAAAAAAGGGATCTACCTCGTGTTAACTTCAGTCGACGTTACGATGCAGGACTTTTGTCGAGCAGTTTGTGGGTTTCACTACTTCACCTTCGCATCGAAAGTGGGTTACACGCTTCCGTACGCTTGGGTCGGCAACTCCGGGAAGCAATGTCCCGAAGTTTGTGCGTATCCATTCGCGGTGCCGGGGTACATGGGAGGAGGTGGGCCCGGGGCACTGAAATCACCAAACGGAGACGTCGGAGTAGACGGCATGATTAGCGTAATAGGTCACGAACTAGCTGAGCTATCATCAAATCCGTTAGTGAATGCGTGGTATGCAGGGGAAGATCCCGTTGCGCCGACGGAGATTGGGGATTTGTGTGAGGGATTGTATGGTACAGGGGGTGGGGGTGGGTACATTGGACAGGTAATGAAGGATAGAGATGGCCGGACTTATAATTTGAACGGACGGAGAGGAAGGAAGTTTTTGGTTCAGTGGATTTGGAGCCCTGTTCTTAAAGCCTGTGCTGGTCCCAACGCCATGGATTAGAGAGCACAAGAATCTGTGGATTGTTTAGCTAAACTCCATAAAGTTTGAAAAATAAAACAAAAATGGAGGAAAAAAGAAAGATGCTCCAATTTCATACTACAATTTTCTGACTGTGCATTGATAAGTAAATTCCTCCATTAGCTCAGCTGAGAAGACTATCTCAAGAAAGGGGAAGAAAATCCAAAAATGAACGATTGCCCACTGTTGTCGGCGTATCGGTTGCTTTTGGTGATGAGAATTGTTACTTTCTTTTTAAAATTTTTTTTGTATGGATTTATTTTCATTAATCGTTTTTTTTAGATGTAAAAAGAGGATATTTATTAAACTTCTTGGGGATTCCTAATACGCAGTAAATTTATTAGAGACAAGATTTTTATGTTGCAATAATGTAGTACTATGTATTATTTTCTCTGATGGAGCTCAACTTTTAAAAGTCAAATTTTTAATTTTGATGGTGAATTCGGATATAAAAACTTTGGTAGGCTTTTGGACATAAAAATTATAATTTTTGATAAATGTAGTATTTAAATTTAAGTTGAAAAATAATATTTGAAATTATGTTTGGATATTTATTTTACGCGAAAAAATGTTATAGTTTTGTGAGCGGTGAAAAAAGTTTTTCTTAAAATTTTGAAAAAATCACTTTTATTTTTGAAAAACTCATTTTTCAAAATCTTAGCAAAATTTTATGTACACACATTTTTTGAAAAAAGGATAAATAATATGGACAAACAAGGCCTTAAATTTTTGAAATAAAATTTAAATATTTGAACACTCTATAAAAAGTAATAGAAGTCAACAAAATGCGTTTGACTTTTTAATTAGAACTCTATCACATGGCGGAACATTTTGCTACATGTGATTTCGTTCATCTTTTCAAAGTCACGAGGATGACTAGCGACTGTTTCTTAATTTAAAGTTTTAAAAAAGGAGAAACTCAAAATGACGTTCAAATCCGATGAATAGTATTATGAAAATATGTTTAACTTAAGATTGTCCAACTGGAAGGGCCGTCCTGTTCCAGTCCCGGTCCCCGTCCCATTTAATTTTAAACGGGATGGACTCACGTTAAACGGGACACGAGATGGAACGAGATTGACATTTCACCTTGGTCCTATTTTTTACTATAAATACCTCCATCCTTCTTCATTTTTTCTCACACAAATCAATCATTCTCTCTCAAATCTCTTACATTCTATCTATATTATTCTCTCAATTTTCTCACTATCAACTATCAAGTGATAAGTTTTAAGTATTTAGGCAAATTTTTTGGAGCAACTTTCAAGCTTCAAATTAATTCGTCAAGTATTTGGAGCAATATTTTGGACAATTTCTTCAAGTTTTAATATTTAATCATGGTGCACTCGATCCATCTCTTAATTTTAATATATAATTTTTGTGTTTACTTTACGTGTTCTATTTTCGTGTTTCATTTGTGTGTTTAATTTTTGTGTTAGCTTTTTAATTTAATTTCATATTTAAATTATGGCACCTAAAAATGTATTTGGCTTTAAAAAACTAGTAAAAAAGTAGTAAAGGTGAAAGTAGTAGTAATCCTAATCCTAACCCTTTCTCCTAGAATTAGAAAACATATAGATGAAATGACTCATGTTGATGAAACTTCATTTTCCCAACCCCCCGCATGTTATAATATTAATTTTGGAGAACAACTAGATCATAAAACTTTACAAAGACAATCTGGAAATGATATTTTTATTGAGGACAAAGAAAATGAGGATGAAGAAAATGAGGAAGAAGATTTAGATGAAACACCCACTAGTCCCGCAAAACAAGTTCCAACTCAAACCGAATCTCGGTCTAGAGCTTTACCCCTTGTACCTCCTGTAAGGGGTAAGCCTAAGGGTGAACGTCCGAAAACATCACTTGTATGAATTTTTTTTGAATATGATAAAGTCAATCAACGTGCTACATGTGGAATATGTAAGCAAAACTTTGCGCACACCAAAAGTGGTGGGACGAGGGGTTTAACTAGGCACTTAGGTAGGGAGCACAAAGCTTTATGGATACAAGCTAAAATAGAAGCCGGACTAATAGCGGATCCTAGCACCGGTACTGGCACTCCTAGTGGATCTGGCGGGGGTTCTAATATTTTACAACAACTACTTTTCCAACACTTTCAATAATGGCCCGAGATATCCTGGCTATTCAAGCATCATCAGTAGCATCAGAGAGTGCTTTTAGCGGCAAGATTTCAAATCGGAGATCATAAACATTCATTAGCGGAGTACAACCTAGAGATTTTCGTATTATTCAGAGATTAGATTAATTTCGAAAGAAGAAATCTTGGTTTTGAAAAATTAACCACTAGGGAAGAAGAAGAATACAATGAGATACTTAGCACTGAGAACGATGACGGCATGGAATTCATGGAACATCAATCAACATTGCCAATTCCAGAATAATGTCCGAGAGAAATTATAGATAAGTTACAACGAAGTTATATAGGCGCTTACAAATATTAGTATGATAATTTTAATTGGCCACAAGTCCTGAAACACGATTCGAACTTAGTAGAGCCCTCGAATCACATCAAATAACATCAAAAACATGAATCACACCCCAATTCAAGCCTATTGAAAATTAATATATTCCAACTTCTACAAACGATGCCGAAACCTATCAAATCACGTCCGATTGACCTCAAATTTTGCACACACGTCACAAATGACACCACAGACCTACTCCAACTTCCGAAAACCCATTTCGATCTCGATAACCACAAAGTTCACCCTTAGTCAAACTTATAAATTTCCAACTTTCGCCATTTCAAGCCTAATTCAACTACAGACCTCCGAATCATAATCTGGATACACTCCTAAGTCCAAAATCACCCAACAGAGCTAACAGAACCAAAAAAAACCCTCCCGGAGTCACATTAGTCAACATCCGGTCAACCTTTTCAACTTAAGTTTTCAACCTTGAGACTAAGTGTCTCAATTCATTCCGAAACCTCACCGGACCCGAACCAACTACCTCGGTAAGTCACATAGCAGCTATAAAATATAAAATGAGTAGTAAATAGGGGAACAAGGCTACAACTCTCAAAACGACCGACTGAGTCCCTATATCATCCCCCTCTTAAACAAACGTTCGTCCTCGAACGGGTCTAGAAACGTACCTGAGTCTCAAATAGGCGTGGATATCTGCTCCGCATATCCCGCTCGGTCTCCCAAGTATCCTACTCAATTGGTTGACCTCTCCACTGCACCTTCACTGAGGCTATGTCCTTGGACCTCAACTTTCGAACCTGCAGACCCAAAATAGCCACCGGCTCCACATCATAAGTCAAATCACCATCCAACTGAACCGTGCTGAAATCCAAAACATGAGGAGGATCGCCGACATACTTCCAGAGCATAGAAATATGATATTCTGGATGCACACTCGACAAACTAGGTGGCAAGGCAAGCTTGTAAGCCACCTCGATCCTCTGAAGTGCCTCAAACGACCCAATATACTGAGGGCTCAACTTGCCATTCTTCCCGAATATCATAACACCCTTCATGGGTGAAACCTTGAGTAGTACCTTCTCCCCAACCATAAAAGCAACATCACAAACCTTCTTATCGGCGTAATTCTTCTGTCTGGACTGCGCCGTGCGAAGCTGATCCTGAATCAATTTAACCTTGTCCAAAGCATCCTGAACCAACTCAGTACCCAATAGCCTAGCCTCACCCGGCTCAAACCAACCCACCGGAGATCGACATCGTCTCCCATACAAATCCTCATACGGAGCCATCTAAATGCTCGACTAGTAGCTGTTGTTGTAGGCAAACTCCGCGAGCGGCAGAAACTGATCCCAAGAACCTCCGAAATCTATGACACAAGCACGTAGCATATCCTCTAATATCTGAATAGTGCGCTCGAACTTTCCGTCCGTCTGAGGGTGAAATGTTGTACTCAACTAAACTTGGGTGCCCAGCTCTCACTGCACGACTCTCCAAAAATGCGATATAAATTGCATGCCCCGATCTGAAATGATGGAAACTGGCACACCGTGAAGGCGGACAATCTCGCGGATGTAAATCTCAGCCAATCGCTACGAAGAATAAGTAGTCTTAACTGGAATGAAGTGCGCGGACTTGGTCAGCCGATCCACAATAACCCAAATAACATCAAACTTCCTTGAAGTCCGTGGGAGCCCAACTACAAAATTCATGGTGATACGCTCCCATTTCCACTCTGGAATCTCTAGCCTCTGAAGCATTCCACCCGGTCTCTAATGATCATACTTCACCTACTGACAATTAATGCACCGAGCTACAAACCCCACTATATCCTTCTTCATTCTCCTCCACCAATAATACTGCCTCAAGTCCTGGTATATCTTCGCGGTGCCTGGATGAATAGAATACCACAAACTGTGGGCCTCGTCAAGAATCAACTCACGTATCCCATCTACATTAGGCACACAAATCCGATCTTGCATCTTCAACACCCCATCATCCCCAATAGTAACATCCCTGGCATCAGCGTGCTGAATTGCGTCCTTAAGGACAAGCTACTGGGGATCATCATACTGGCGCTTTCTGATGCGATCATATAAGGAAGACCGAGAAACCACACAAGCTATAACCCGACTGGGTTCCGAAATATCTAATCTCACGAACTGGTTGGCCAAGGCCTGAACATCAACTGCAAGAGGTCTCTCACCAACATGTATGAATGCAAGGCTATCCATACTCACCGCTTTTCTACTCAAGGCATCTGCTACCACATTGGCCTTTCCAAAATGATACAAAATAGTAATATCATAGTCCTTTAGCAGCTCCAACCATCTCCACTGCCTCAAATTTAGATCAATTTGTTTTAACAAGTGCTGGAGGCTCCGATGATCCGTAAATACCTCACAAGACACACTATAGAGATAATGCCTCCAAATCTTCAATGCATGAATGATGGAAGCCAACTCCAAATCATGAACATGGTAGTTCTTCTCATGAGGCTTCAACTGACGCAAAGCATAAGCGATCACTCTACCCTCCAGCATCAAGACACACCTAATAGCGATCCGAGAAGCATCACAATACAATGTATAAGAGCCTGAAGCTGAAAGCAACACTAGAACTGGAGCGGTGGTCAAGGTAGTTTTGAGCTTCCGAAAGCTCTCCTCACACTCATCCGACAACCTGAAAGGATCACCTTTCTTGGTCAATTTGGTCAAGGGCGATGCAATAGACGAGAAACCCTTCACGAAACGATGATAATAACCGGCCAAGCTGAGAAAGCTCTAAATCTCCGTAGTTGAGGACGTCCTAGGCCAACTCTGAACTACCTCTATCTTCTTTGGATCTACCTGAATCCTCTCACTGGACAACACGTGCCCCAAGAACGCCACCGAACTAAGCCAAAACTCACACTTGGAGAACTTGGCATAAAGCTTCTCCTCCCTCAACCGCTGCAAAGGATACTTGTTCTTGATTGTAACT